AGCGAAACGCTACATGGGCATCATGGAGGTGATCAAGTGGCAGGAATCCGGAAGCAAGAAGTCGAGATTCCAGGTTCTGGCAGCAAGGTTTCCGAGCATCATGAACCCGAACGACACGAGGGCAGCCAGGGAGGAAATGACCAAAGCTGGCATGGATCGGGACGACATCGACAGGATGTTCAACAGATGCGATGGATGGTACAGACCTTGGTGCATCCGAGTCACAACCGGTCACAGTGATTTTGGATTCATGAGCTCATCCGCACTGGCGAATAGGTATTCCGCAAGTATGGGTGATACTCTCGGAGGAGCATTCCATGTGACGTATGTGGAAAACCTGCCAAGCATCGTACGCTGTGGGCTAGTCCCCGGCGGAATCGATGGCGGTAACAGGCTAGCACTGCACTTCGGGGCATTTGCTCCATGGGATGAGATGAACGTGGCGACGAAGACGACGCTACGGAACGTGAGGAGAGGGGATCCGATTGCGATCATCTATATTCCCAGTGCAACCCTCGCGCGGTATGGGGCTGGAGTCGCGGCTAATGGGACTTTCATGGTCTTTGACGTGATCCCGTTCTATGAGGTCAAGTCCATGTGGATTGGCAAAAGCAATGGAGGGAAGCGCCTGGAGTACGCTGACATCAAGAGGGCGTACTCGAAGTGTGTGGAGAACGAGATCTGCCCTGGCTTTGTCAACTATTCCCAAGAGTCGGCTGCGATGTTCCTCCAGAACGTCGCAAAGATCAGCGAGAGGATGCCGGAGACTGAGACAGGTGCCGATAATCTGCACTACATCGTTGACATGGTTAATCGTGCTTGCGAACTCTATCGAAACAACAAGATGGAAGAGTTCAACGCACAGGTCAACGTGGTCCGGGACGAAGTCAGCAAAGTCGTCATCCTGAATGATGAGACATGGGAAGGACTGAGGTGCCGGATATGTCCATCATGTGCGACCGCGATCCCCACCTGATTCTGCTTATGCCTGGAGTGCGAGGCACAACTGATCTCCATCGGAAGATACTACATTCACATCAAATCCGATGACGAGGAGGACAACCAAAACCCCAACGTCTCTGGAGATGCCAGGCGTGCTCAGGAAGAAGCTAACCACGATGCGGCAGCACAGGAGGATGAAGACGAAGCGGAGGAAGTTCCGGGAGAAGATGACGACATGGACACGCAAGGATATACATCCGGCTATGCGTCAGAAGAAGAAGACGGCGGTTGGCATTACCGCGACACCGATCTGACGTCACGGGACATTATAATTTCCCAACGGATGGCGATCTGCCTTGACGAGCCGCGTGAGGCTCAGTACATGGCAGGATTTATCGCACTCCAGCTGTCCAAGATGTGGGGGATGTTTGAAGGTGGTGAGGAGAGAACGCTGAATGCCGGACTCGAAGGGAATCCGGGCTGCCCTTATCACAATGATTTCAGGAGGTACCCCAACATCACTGAGCACGATCAGGAAGGTATACTTTTGCCATCAACAATAACGAAGATTTCTCAATCGGAGAATGTTCGGACAAGAGCCTTCCGATCGGTTGAGGAGCGTGACGAATATATTCGTATGATGGTGAACAAATGCGAGGGACTATACACATTCTACAAGATGTGGATTGCAGCGAGAATCCTCGATGTCACCAAGGAAGAAATGAAGCTCCTGGTCAAGGACCGAGTGCACCCGGTGGGTGATATTATTTTCAGATGTTTTGCACTAGCATTCAACTGTAAGTATATATCATTCGTGAGGGATGGCCTAAACCTTGGCAAGAATGGTTACACGGTCAACGTGAGCGCCATCATCTCGGCCATCGACCCGTACAAATGCGACACACCCCTGCTGGATTGGTGCCTTCGGAAAGGGCACTGGTTGCCAGAGGACTACAACAAGAAGTGTGTCCGGGCACGAGAAGCCCAGAAGAACTTGGACGAGGAGTTCCGCCGTCGTACCCATAGGCTGTCCATTGGGGACAGGTATGCTTCGTGAAGATGATGATTGCGGTACGATGTGGGCCAGTCCCCATCTGTTACTTGCGTCACATCGACACTGTTTCGGTGGAACGACTAATGTCATGATTTATATTCATGTGTCCAAGATGATTGGGTGTGTACATGGTTACATATTCCGATGACTATGACGCTCTGGATATTCATGGATGGAACTTTTACCTTATAGATGATATCTTTTCATTATTTATGCATTGTCCATGGTATCTGGAATGGCTATGATTTGCATTGATTACTCACCGATGTTACTTTGCCGGAGATATGCAGACCGATCACAAGCGGGCGCGTCTGGTGGACTTTTGTGGCCAACCCATTTATGGATGACAGCTGCGCGATGCGCAAATGCGGCAGCTGGAATGTTCACTGGCGGTCATGTGAAGTGGCCACAGTGTATTATATATACACCTGCATATGGATGTGTGCTTCGATTGGAGGATGAATGTTTCACTTTTCGCACAATCGAACCCGGCATGTTTCACAGCGAATGAACGGTGTAGTGATAGCAAGTAAAAGAATGCACGACACGATTTCGTAGTTGAAGCCGTGGCCAGTGGAACGTTTTGTGGTGTTTGGACCGCATGATGAACAATGCGACCCAAATGGGGGATGTAAAAACCCTCTAGGCCCCGTGCCGAAATTGGGTAGCTGTTCTGAGGTCCTTGTTGGTGTTGCTTCCCAAGTTCCATTGATCGCCATTTGGCTCAAGACACAATTGAGGTTCAAGATCTGATGCGTGACTGCGAACATTCGTGACGGGCAATAAGAGCAAAACAACTGCTTGCGCTGCATTGTCAGGACTACTGGTGTAACTATCATTCCTTCTTCCTTACAACGTTTACACGGGTTCGGCTATAACGGCATCGTCCGTATACACCTTTCTACGTGGTTGGTATTGAAGCTTGAGGGTTCGGTGCACAGCGTCCCACGGGACGTCACCTTGCCGTCTCTTGACAGCAAAGGACAAGCTCAAGACGTGCGTGAGCAAGACAGGCCTGCTCGGCGTGCCGACGCCTTTCTGGGACTTGAAGTTTGCAGGCTGGTGCCTGCCCTCACCGGTGGTGACAGGATTGGAGTACTTCATGGGGGCGCTGGTGTGGGAGGGTAGTGCTTTCGACGGTACTCGTGCAGCCATCCCCTCTGTGCAGACTTTACGCACAGCCGTCTCCGAAATCAAATCCTTGGTCGCTGACTTTGCAAGTGACTCTGGCATCGGCCTCATGGAACTTGGGCGCGACGTGCTGCGCGCCCGGGAGGGTCGTGAAGAGGATGTGAGCTCCAGGTCCGGCTGCGGCTCCAAAGCCAATTGGGGTCTGGGGAATGGACGTGGCGTTTCGGCCCGTTTGAACTGAACGTCGCCGATCTGGCACTACCCAGGACCTTTTCCTCAGGTATAATTAATTTGAATCTTATTAAAAAAAGGAATAGCTATATGATTTCATTTCACTTGGTATATTATATAAATTATTTTATTAATGTATATTATTCTTTTCAGTATCTTTGGGCATCCTCTCCGGCTGCAAGGGCAACTCAGCCGTCCTCCCGAACCTGATCCTGCGATTTGGCAAATCTCAAGGTGCCACAACTTCGGCAGGAGGTGCCTCTACAGCCATTACAACACAGATCCATTTCTACGAGACCTACCCAGCCTTCACAAACAGATTCGCTTTCCAAGCGTCTCTGGACATCACGCCGGAGGTGGAGCTCACTGGAATCATCGGGGTTCCCTTGGCCGCAGGCGTGCCCATCTCCTTTGGCATCTATCCCAGCCCAGCTGCGCACTGCTTAGATGTTTGACACAGCCTGGAACACTGGCCTCGAACACTCTTTTTGACTCTGTTTTGGACCGTCTAAGAGTTCTCTAAGGTGCCCAGTCAGTTCAGCTTCCAGGTTTCGGTGGAGGTTGGCGATGATTTGAAACAGATAGGCAGCGAGCTGAAGGCGCTAACCCTGGAAGCAAGCCAGAGGGCCGAAGAGGCTGGGGGCAACGGCATCATGGCGGGACTGGCCACAGCCGCGGATCATCTCGGTCGCAACGCGCACCTCTTGAAGGGTCACTTCCAGAACCAGACTTCGCAGAGCAAGGGCCACGCCAAGGAGCTCGGCAAGTACTTCCGCAAACATGGCCGGGAGTTTGTCGCGGCAGGCGCTCGCAAGTCGTGGAACCGCGATGCGGCAGCCTCCGCTGATGACCGCAACAGCGAGAAAAGCACGATATCAACCCTACAGAGCTTTCAAGCTCCTCAGCCTGGGGACATCTCCGTCGAGGCAAGTGTTGAATTCACGTTTTGCATCACTCCGCTCCAATGCTACGGCTCCTGAATACACAGGATATAGTACTAGTAGATGGAAACATTATTATATTAATGATTGAACTCATATTCTAACTTAAAATTTGTATAATTTAATTTGGATCATAAAAACAATAAATATTTCAACTGTATTTTATACATTTTGATATATCCGCAAATATGTTTAGGAATTAAATATTTGCTATTTGCAATTCATAATATATATTCTTGACGAACGTTTTCAATATTAATGTATTTTGATTTGATATAAATATACGCCTACATTTAGGCTTAACTCAGCAGCTGCCATCCGCAGGTCCTCTTCGGGCTGAAGGAAGTCATGAAGCGACGGCCGGATCTGAAGCTGGTGGTGATGCGCCCCGGCTGGAAGCGCACCAGATGGGTAGGGAATGGGGGCTGGGGGACGAAGCCTGGAAATGGCAGTGGCTGAAAAGCACGCCGCCCGAGCCCAAGCACGCCTCAATGCGGGACACAGAAACTAGAGACTTTCAGGGACCTGAGACTCGGGCACTGTGGACTCTCCTAAGGCCTGGCGGCCACCTCCGAGCTTGCGAGACCGGGCTTGGGCCGCGCCGAAAAAGTGTTCCGATGCGTCTCTTTTGACAGGATGCTTGTCTCTGCTTGTCTCTGCTTTCTCTTGTCAGATCTCTGAGTTTATCCACTCCCTAAGAGGCGAAGCACTCCTACCGCCGGCGCGAATCGCCAGAAAGACAGGCTCGTTTCGGTGAACTTGGGCCTTGGCATGAGAGCCCACTGAGGCCGATCAGAAGCAGAATCGAGGAGGTCCAGTGTATTGCAGGACTGCTCACAGTGGCATCGCCTATTATCTCGAACTGGCACAAACCCAACTTAGGTTGCGCGCAAATCCCGGTGTCACCAAATTCTGAAGGCAGCATTGGTCTTACCTTTGTGAAGGAACTGTGGATCACCGGTGGAGGCGCGCTGCACAGAGTCTTTGTGGGTTGGGATGGTGACTATTTGTTGTTTAGAGCCGCGCAGTCGGATGCGTGCTGGCTCAACTATCAGCACTAAATGAGGGACGGGAAATGTCCCCGGATTCAGTTTCAGGCGAACGCATTGCATGCAACCTGCTAAATAGCGAGGGGATGACGCGAAGCTGGTTGCGTGATCTTGTTGCGCATAGCCGCGATGCTTGCACATTGTTTGTTTTCAGCAGTACCGCAACGGGTACTTTCTCGAGTCGATCCATGCATTGTGCCATGTTGCGATGCATGCAGCAGGAACAAGGATGGTCCTGCTTCAGCAATTTATTTGTAAAGACAGCCGGGCCAGTTGTGTTGCCACATTGCTGGACTCCGGAACCCTGACAGAACTTGCAGACCTGCCTGCTCATTGGATCCTGTTTTCAAGACACCTTTGCCTGAGGTCTTGATAAGGGCTGTACAAAGAGCTTTCGGGCTTCCAAACAAAGGCAGAGCCAACTAGATTTGCCGAGGACCTGCCCAAGCTTACAGGTTTTGCAGTTTTACCAACAGCCATTGGGTGACTGTGGCATGTGACAGGTCCCTATCCAGACTTCGTCTCCGTCTCTGCTGCTCAGTTGCAGTCGCGCGTAGGTTTCGTTTTCGAGGTAAAGGAGTGCAACGCCCCAGGCCGCCCACACGCTCGCCGTCACCATCGCCGTACGACAGCCCGCACCTCGCGGTTTGACAGCTCGCGGTTTGACAGCCTTTTGCGACCGCCTGCGCCACAGGTGCAGTCTCCACCTACTACCAGTCCGGCACAACCCAGATGCAGCACTCCTACAGCAATGGTTCCTTGCCGTCGCATCGGTCTCCCAGTCTGACTCTTAGCAGAACAGTTTAGGCACTCTTACAGCATCCGGTGCGCTGGTGCAATGCGGGTGTGGTGTGAAGGTCCACCGTCGAGATCTTTATCACCAGCCGGCGTCCGTCCCCTATCAGTGTGTGCCGTAACGGGGTTGAAAACCCCGAAAAGCTGCAGGGCATTCCCAACACGGTTCCCTCACGTCGTTGCAGGGCTGTCTCAGCAGCGTCAGGCTGACCTGCGCATCGAGAGCGTGCGACCAGCAGGTGGAGGTCTGGGAATCTCTGGGAGCATGCGGTGATCGCGTGCGTTCTGCTCGCGTCCAGGGCACATTGCGCTCTCAGTGGCCACCTGGGGCGACCGCACACCTTGGAGGCGGGGGTTGAGTCGTAGGGGCCGAGGCTACGTATAGGGCAATCGGGCAATCGCAGTGCGGAGTGAAGCGGAGCGATGCCACAGGCCTGGACAGCCGTGCTTCTGGCAAGCATTTCCGGTGTAGCAGCCTGGCACCGCCTGGCAGCCTGGCACCTCGCCAGGTTTCACCAGAAACAGATGAGGAGCAGGACGCCAGAGCAGAGGCCCATGTCCCATGCCCATGTCTGTAAAACCTATCGAAAGCTTGCCACGCAGGGCACAGCGGCCAGAGCGAGGCAGCCTGTGCCGGCCTTGGGTGTTTGGTATGAGGCAGCAGGCGGTGTAGGCGGTAGGAGGTGTTGGCATATGTTGGCATGGTGTTCGTGACGTTCGTGGTTCACAGGCCTCCTTTGCGAGCCAGCAGCTCAGAGGTTTTGCCTTAGAGACTCTCTTCGGCTTCCTCCAAGGACCCCAGCAGTCCTCAGGGGCGGGCGATGCCAGTGCGCAGCATGATGGGTGAGCCCTGTGTTTGCGGGAACGGATGTGGAAGACATGCGCCAGACTGGGTCTTAGAGTCCTAGAGTCCTATCCTCGCCTGGGTCCCGAAAGAGACTGGCTTGTGCCCCAAGCAATGCACATGGGCCGTGCCGAGGGTTGCCCTTTGTCATAATCGGAGGCAGAACAAGAGCAATCAACCATGACTGAGATATCAGCGCATGACAGCAACAACAAAGCCGCCGCATCCTCATGAGGCTTCATGGGACGTGTGGTCAAGCAATTCTGTTGATCCATCATGTAGTGCAAGCATGTTGCTCCAGACGTGACTCAACCCCGAATTCGATGTCGATTCTTCCTTTTCATTGAGCTTTGATGATCTTTGTTTGAGGCTTCAACAAAATACAGCTTCAAAGGATCACAGCACAACAAGCATGCCATCCACAGCCCGGCAGCTTCCACACCCTTTTGCGTGGATGCGGTGCTTGTTGCGCACCAGCAATACGCAGTTGGCATGCCAGGCTCCTCGAGCGCCGTGGAGCTTCGCCGGGAGGTCCCTGAGGCCACTCCCACAATTTTCACTTCTTCCCATGAGCCCGGCCGCATGGCCGCATGGCCCCTTGGACGCGCATAGCCGCATGGGCCGCATTGGTGCATCGGTAGGCGAGGGGGCGGCTGCGTGGCGCCATGTTCGCACGGCCCAGAGTTCACGAAGTTTCTTTCGATCTGGCAATGCGAGTCGCTCGATCCAGGTTCACGATGTCCGGCCCTTCAAAGCATCGGAGTTTACGGGCGAGGACGTGCGAGCCGGTTTTCTGGTTTGCTTCCGTGGTCTGACCATGCTGTGTGACAGTTTCAGGACCCTCGGATGCTTTGGTCTGGCCTCTCAGATGGTCTCACTTTGCCTTCATGCTGCCTTCGCAGCTGAGGCGGCCCCAGAAGTCATTTCCTCTCAAGGATGCTCCAGGCACTGCAAGACTAAGACCCGTTTGCCGGTTGCACTCATGGGCTCCCAGGCACAATGCCCCATGTCACCATGCATTCGCGTCCCGCAGCGGTGTGGGCCCGAAGCCGCTAGCATCGCATCCTTGCAGCTGGCCAAGGACAGCCGTTTGCACATCGCGCATGGTTTGCCGCAACCAGCGCACGGTGGAGAGGCAATGGTGCGCGGGCACGCGAAGCAGCAGGCTGCTGGAGTGCTGGAGTGGAGTGGAGGCCCGCTTTCGGCACGGACTGTCAGACGAGGCCCAAGAGCGCAACGCCGCGAAGCAGGCCTGAGCTAGAGCCAAGTGAGCGGAGTGAGCGGAGGTGTCGGCCAAGTGCATGCTGCCTACGCATGTTGCGTAGGCAGCCTCGAAGAAGTCCGGATCGCAGCTAGATGCCGCGCGCTGAGACGTGAAAGCATGAGCGAATGGAATGGCCAAATGGCAGGCCCAGAAGGCAGGCTTGAAGTTTCAGTGTCCCAGCTGCCGAGCACCAAGCTGGGATTTCGGCTTAAAGTTCAAGCTTGCCACGAGATCAGACTCAGGTCTGCAGGAGAGCACCAACTACAAGATGTCCCTCGGCCAAGTTTGGTGCCTGAGCGGCTTTGTTGCGCAGCGGCACGCGACGAATGAGGCTACAGCAGCACTACGACTCGAAGCACCCGAAACTGTCTGTCACTGAGCTTCTGCATCGTTGAGACTTCGGCTGGCTCCCCACTCCAGACTTTCTTCTGCAAAACCTCCCCACGAGCATTGTTGGGCTGAGACATGTGCAGTGTTGGACTGATACTGCACACGCGTCATGCAGACGTTTGCCCGGGTAGAGGTCATGCCCACCGGAGGAAGAATGCTACAAGAAGTGATGCGGGAAAGCACGTCCCTCGGAACCGGTCGGAACCCGGGCAGCATTTTTCGAGAGGCGTGAATTGAGCTCAGGCAACATTTAGATCCAACGAACGTTGGACAGCACCCATACGCAGGCACTGAACCCCAACTGTTCTCAATAGTTTGATGCATTTATGCTATGCAGATACGCTTCGCACATCAGAGACATGGCATCTTGTGCTCCACAGGTCGCCAGGTCGCGCAATCCTGAAGCTTGGCACTCAGGAAGTGTCCGCAAAGCTGTGAGCAACCGCCAATATTCATCGTATTTGTAGCAAAGGATGTACATGCAGCGGATGGAAAAACATCTTCCAATGGAGCCGGCATTTTGGGGGTTGATTGCAACCTGCCAGCTCCTAGGCCGTGGCCGAGTGAACTCGGGAAGTCCCAGAAAAGAGATTCACATCCGCAACTGACAACTCGTAACTTGTATCGTTTCACTTTTTACTACGGGGCATGACAGTCTCAGGCGACTTCCAATTTGGCTTGCATGGATCCAGCTTCAAGGCTGTACAGCCGACGCTTTGTATCGCTCCCATATTTCTCGTCTGTCTATACCACGTGCCAGTGAGGCAAAAAGTTGCGGCTCAAGCAGTGTCGTGTCTTGCGAAGTGGCCGTCAGTCTCAGAGCGCCTAGCCAGGTTTGCGGGAGCGCACATGAGGGAAGGGCGGTTGGGCGGTCGCTCTCGGTATCTCACTTTTGCGATTTGCTCGCGGAGTTGCGGGATGGGGGCTGTTTGCCCTGAGGGCAGCAGCTCAGCTTGAATTCGGCCCTTTGAGACGTCGCACATCTTCCGAGATGAAGGCGCTCGGTCGGCTTCTCAACATGTTTCAGCATCCTGCGGGACCAAAACGGAAGTCTTGGCCTTGACTTGCTGCTAAAGGATGCTCTTGGAGCTCCTCAGAAAAATAAAACCTTGTGACCCCTTCCTCGGGAGACAATTAAACAATTGGGAATCATATCTTAAAACGATTGAACGCATGTAACATGTCTTCAAACATTAAAACAAGCACTTTTCCAGGATTGCCTAATTATTCTAATTATTTGTGGGTCTGCTTTGCAGGAAGGTGTGGAACGCATTGTTTTCTCCCTATGGTTATGTTGGGGTAAAAACTGGTGCGCACCCTTTCTCGATGCGTCTTGAGCCAACGTTTCAGTCGGTCGCAAATGTTCATGAAATGTCGAGTGCAGTCTTCACACTCCCCCTGTGGCCTTTTGCCACACTCAGACCTGTTCCCACCCCGAGGACTCTGAGGTCTCCTCTTGAGGTGGATCAGGTTCGCTTCCAGTCTTGGGAAAAAACGCTACCGGGCCCGCCTCAGCTCCTCGCTCCACTGGGCCACCCTTGACATACCCCACATCCCAAGTCCTCGTCCGGGCCGACGAAGACGATGCCTTCTCCTTAACCTTCATGACCTTCTTCTGAGTCCCCGAAGACGGCCTCTCGTCCTTCTCCTTGATCCGGAAGAACGTGTATCCTCGCCACTGCTGCGTTTTGGAGGTGGCTTGCCTTGCCTGTGGCGCGGTAGCTGTCCTCCATGCGCTTGAGGCCCAACCGCGACTCAACGGCGAAAAGCTTCGTGGTTCGGGTTGACTTCAAGTCCACTGCATCCACTGGAAAATCCCGGTGGATCGAGTGGAACCTTCGCTTGGCTTCGGAGCCCGAATGGCCCACCCCACCGACCAATCCCACTGGTCCTTGCCCTTGGACTGCGGGACCACCTTGTACTTCTCCAGCTCCCAAGGGGCGATTCGGCTTCGTCTCCTGCTCCACCCAAATCACTTCCTCCTCCGACTCCTTCTTTTTCCATCTCAGTGCCCGGAGTCTGGGTCGAACTTGTCGCTCACCCTGGCTACTGCTGGGCTCCTCTCTGCTCCTGGGACGAGCCGGACCAGCATCGCGAGGGTCGTTGTCATCTCGAGGGCTTCGGCTCCGAACTCGTCTTCCAGGATTTTCATCGATCTCCAGGTCCGCCAACGAAACTGTGCCCCTGAGCGCAAAAAGTAGTCGAACCTGTCCATGCGTGGGCCTCCCGGAAGGTGTCCTGTCTCCAATTGTCGACGAATGTCCTTCTGCCGCGCTCCTGGTCAACGAAACCAGGTGGTTCAACCTCCGCTCCTCCAGCATGTTGATGTTGACCCCAGGCGGCATAGCTGCCGGATCCGGTTGAAAGTCCCGGTTCCGTCTGAGCATATGGATGCGGACCGCCACAATCCTTGTTTCCTCGAAGGTAACTTCCCAAAAGTCCTCCGGCTCCTCCTCCACCGAGTCCGGCCATGGCATGGCGGGAGCTTCACGCTGCCTCCTGCCTAGTCCTAGAAGCAAGGGGCAGCCCATTGGGCAGTGGTCAAATGGCTGACAGGAGGGGTCCCAAATGTTGACCTCCGGGGCTGGTTCATCTTCCCTAGCCCTTCTTGTCGTCGCCGGTTCATTTTCCCTGGCAACCTTCTTCTCTGTCGGTTCATGTTCCCTGACAGAGGCACGTCTCCAAACAGAGGGGTCCTCTACTGGTCGGTTCATTTTCCCTGACCATCTTCGCAACCCTAAACCTGGTTGTTCTTATGTGCGGCTGGTTAATTTTCCCTAGCCGATCTTGATTCCCTCTTGGGTTGGGCTCATTGGCCTTTCAACACAAATCCTACACCCACTCCAAGGGATGCCAAGCAGACATCCCGGATCAGACACGATCCCCGATCCTGAGGCTTCCAGCAGGCGATAATGCCCATCAGCCCACTCATCGCTGCAATCTTCACCGCTGCCTCCTTGCCGATAACCCGGCCGCCATCTGTTTCTCCCGGTCCTTGCAACGAAGCCACCTCCGAACCTTCCTTGATCATGCCCGCCATGCACAATATCAGATTTTTGTATCCGGCCTCCGGCTTCCGGCTTCCGGCCGGGCCCGCGGCGGCCCGGCCCGATCCGGCTTCCGGCTTCCGGCTTCCGGCGTCCCGCGGCCCGGCCATGCATGTATGTAGAGCAACAAAAACTTTCTGGACCACAGGAGGCCGGATCGCGGGAGGCCGAAAGCCGGAGGCCGGATCAGGCCATTTGTGTTTTCCCGGATCCGGCAACTTCCGTCGGGTCGAGATTTAATTTGGGATTTTTGTTTTATTTTGGGACTTCCGGAAAGCATGGCGAAGGGTTCTTCCGCTGGGTCCACTTGAGTTGTTCTCATGGGAGTCATTACAAGGTGTCGTTGCAAGGAATCATCATCATGAAAGTCATTGCAAGGAGTCATTGCAAGGAGTCATTGTAAGGAGTTATTACAAGGAGTCATTGCCAGGAGTCATTGTTGCAAGGAGTCATTGCAAGGAGTCATTGCAAGGAGTCATTGCAAGGAGTCATTACAAGGAGTCATTGCAAGGAGTCATTGCAAGGAGTCATTGCAAGGAGTCATTGCAAGGAGTCATTGCAAGGAGTCATGAGAGTCATTGGTTGCAAGGACAAGGAGTTAAGTGCAAGTTGCAAGTGCAACCAGTCAAGTGCAAGTTGCAAGTGCATGGAGTCAAGTGCAAGTTGCAAGTGCATGGAGTCAAGTGCAAGTTGCAAGTGCAAGGAGTCAAGTGCAATTGACTTGCGAGGAGTTAAAATCTCTCCTTATAGGGCGGCGGGGTAGTGCCGACGACACTCTAAGAAAATCGACCCCCTGCAGGGATTGGCGTGGTCAAGGTGCAAAAACTCGTGGTTTTTTTGCGATTTTGTTTTGGCTCGCGTGACCCTCTGCGACAATCGGCAAGGCCGAGGTGCAAAATTCGAGGTTTGTTGCGATTTTGTTTTGGCTCGTGCGATTCTCTGCGGGGATCGGCGTGGTCGAGGTGCAAAAACTCGCGGTTTTTTGCGATTTGGTTCGGCTCGCGCGACCCTCTGCGGGGATCGGCGTGTTCGAGGTGCAAAAACTCGAGGTTTTTGGCGTGCAAAAACTCGAGGATTTTTGCGATTTTGTTTTGGCCCGGGCGACCCTCTGCGGGGATCGGCGTGGTCGAGGTGCAAAAACTCGAGGTTTTTTACGATTTCAGCGACTTTTGTTGTTCGAGCTGGTCCTTGGGAGTTGTCTTGTGGTTCGCGCGAATGCTCCCGGGCCCGGCGGGTCGCGGGTTCGATTCCCCCCTGGCCCGCGGGCAGGCTTCGCAAGCTGCACGGAGCAACTTGCATAAAGCAACTTGCGCAGAGCAAGTTGCACAGACCAGTTTGCGCAGAGCAACTCGCGCAGAGCAATTTGCACAGACCAGTTTGCGCAGAGCGCCTTGCCTAGAGCAACTTGCGCAGAGCAACTTGCACAGAGCAACTTGCACAGAGCAGCTTGCGCAGAGCAACTTGCACAGAGCAACTTGCACGGAGTAATTTGCACAGAGCAACTTGCAGGGAGCCACTTGCAGGGACCAACTTGCACGGAGCAACTTGCGCGGAGCAACTTGCACAGAGCAACTTGCGCAGAGCAACTTGCGCAGAGCAACTTGCACACACTGCAACTTGCACAGAGCAACTTGCACAGAGCAACTTGCGCAAAGCAACTTGCGCAGAGCAACTTGCGCATGTCTCAGGCCAGCCGTGGTCTAGTTTTTTTGTTTTCCGTCCTGGCTACTAAACTTCTGTATTTTACAGCATTTTCTCGCGAAATGTACGTGTTTTGCGCTAGTCCGTCAACATCATCAGCATCGCTTTGAACATCCCCCGCATGTCCAGCCAACATCTCCAGCATCACCACCAAATCGAGGGCCTTGGCTGGCTTCCTGCATCTTCAGCATCATCAGTTCCTGTGTGGCAAGGGTTCATGCTAAAGGAGGGTTCAAATACGGGCAAACTAATCCTTGTAAAACACCCAAAACGTACGCGGCAGCCCCCCCCATGATGATCGAAAAAGTGATGATTCAATTCGGGGCCAAAAGTCTGAAAAATAGGGTGCCTATCCCAGAAGGGAACTGGTATCTTGTGGTAGTAGAGGTCGTTGATTTGGTCCCTGCATCTATTCCGGAAAAGAGAGTCCAATATGCCAATATGGATGATTGGAGGATGGATTGTCCCTGGTGGCTTGGACTGACTGTTATACCTGGAAAGCGGTCTGCAAGCCTTTTATCAATGTACCATGCGTCGAATGACTGTACGATTGAAATAGAAGGGCCTTGAGCCAAATGTTGCAGGAGATCAAGTGTTCAACAAACCAAACACAAAACAGACACAAATTTCTTTTGATCTCCAGCGCTAGATATGAAATATCTTTGGCTTCATGGCCTTTGGCCGTAGCCTTGATTTATGCCGTAGCCATGTGTATTGAAATACTGGGTTCATCCTGTTTTCTGCGCGGATGAAATGTCTTGATTTGCAAAATGGGAAACAGTCCGTACTTGTACAACGCTATGATGCGGGACGGATGTGAAACTATTGATCTCTCTCACTGAATAGTCTTGTTGCCGATCTCGGGTGTTCTCTCAGTCGAGCTTCAGAAAAACTTTCCTTGGCGGATCACTCAGACCAGAGGAGGCAGTACTGCTTGTTGCATTCCTTGTACTCTTGCTGAGTCCAGGATTGCTTCTTCTTGAGGCGCTCCTTGGATCGCTCAAAGTTTCGCTGCTTG